CCTGTAGCTGTGCCTGAGATTGTCCAACCAAGGTGTAAGACGTTGCAGTTCATATTGTTGAACTTCTTAAGTTTGGCATTGGCCCACCCCTCAGGCATGTCCAGGTCCCTCTGGATGGCATCCCTTCCCTCCAGCATATCAACTGAGCCACACAGCTTGGTGTCATCGGCAAACTTGCGGAGGGTGCACTCAATCCCACTGTCCACATCAGTGACAAAGATGTTGAGCAAGGTCAGTCCCAACACTGATCTTGCTCAACGTCTTTGTCAACGACATGGACAGCGGGAATGAGTGCCTGTCCTGCTGTGAAGTGCCAGCCTGTGGTGACTGCCAGTACCTGAACCCAGGCCCAGGAATTTTTTTTTGTTCAAAATGTGAAAAACCCTTAAGCTGATGAGGTCATTTACCTGTACTGTGAGTGACCAGGTAATTCTTGTTGATGGAGGAGAGTGTAGAGGCATGTTCCCCTCAGAGCTATCAGTTTCCTTAGAGTGCACTGTGAAGAGTTTTCCAGATGGCCCCCAGAATAATGTAAGTTTTCACTCATATTGAGGTTGCGTACTAGTTAGTACAATAATGTTTCATAAAGGTTAACATGGTACAGATGCTTTCTGTTAATTGTTACTCTTGTCTGAAGAAATGTAATTTACTTGTTATAAATACTATATTAAAGACACCTTTTATTTCCAAAGGCATTCAAAAATTTAAAAGGCTAGGGTGTACTCCATTTACTAACAAAGGAGAAACCACCTACTTAATGTTTGCAGAGGATGTTATATTTTTATGTAGCAGTTCAGGCATAAGTGATTACTTAGAACCCCTAAGATAAAGCCTTCCTTCAAAAAGAAGAAAACACTGCATACTCCTGCATTTGTACCTGAGCTAGTTTTGACAGCAAAGTAATACACTTTTAAAGCAGCCTGCCATATATCTCCTTATTAATGTTTATATTGATGGCTTGTAAACAATCTGGGTATTAAATGCTTTAATCCAGGGTTACTGCAGTTAAATGTGTAATCATTGTAGTATTTTCCCCTTCAGTGTTCAGTGCAAGGGAGAGATGGTACAGAGCTACCTTATGATTTTCAGTTAAGCATGCATAGGGTCACCTTCCTTTTTCATTCTTTTGTTTCTTGTCACTGCAGAGCACAATTTAATGCAAAATGTTCTCTTACAGATAGTTTTTGTGCCACAAACGTGGCCAGCATACTGCCTGTTCAAGGTGTGATGATTGCTTTCTCTGTATTTTTCCTCTCTCAAATGTTGTTCAGTGCAACAATACATCAAGAAAGCCATTTCTTTCAAATCTTTCTGACTGGCCACTTTGGACATGCTTAAGGGGAACACTTTACATCAAAATAGTAGTTTCTAAAAATACGCAATTTTAAATTATATTTCTCCTGCTTATTCTTGGCTGAAAGTCATTTTTCTCTCCTATTTCTGTTTAACCTTCTCAGTTACATAAAAAAAAAACCAAACCCAAAACGTATTGTACCAGTTGTGACTTTCCTCTATGAGGGATTTTTAAGTCTACACTGGAATAGTTCAAATTGGATTTTGTGTTTGTTTTTACTCTGGTGTCTGAAACACATAGGAAATTCCTTCTTCCTGAAAAGTTGATGGGTGTGTGAGAGAAATGGGATGGAAGCTATGCAGGTCTACATATGTCTGAAGTATCTTCTGCAGAAACACAGGCCAGATCCTTTGCACAAACAAGCTCATCTCTGCTGAAGACACATATAGCTTATGCAGCTGAAAATCTAGCTAGTGTGATAGGCATAGAGGACCCAATCAACCCATTTAGATTGGTGTTTTTTGTTTTGTTTTTAACAGTCTGGTCTTTTGAGCCCATTCTGTTTTTTTACTAGCAAATTTATTTGTGATCATCCCTATGAAATCCTGGTGTGACTAGCTTCTACTCAAGGATTTATGCTCTGAAAGAATGAAAAGGAAAAAAAAAGTTAAATAAAATGTGCTCAAGTTTTTTGTATGTGCAGGAGTCAGGAAATTCAAAGCAGTAGCTTGGGCTGCAGCTGTTTCTCATTTGCATTGAATATACTGCGTCTTTGTGGCACCAAATTAGCACTTAATACAGCAATACAAAAATATTCTTTAGAACATCAAGTAAGGCTACTGAGAAAAATGTTGTTTTGAATTTTTCAGAGCCAGTGCTTCCTGAAGAGCTCAGCCAAAGAACTATTCTTATGAGGGGCATATGGGAGGAGTGGTTGCACGCAGGACCGAAGATCTTTTCTGATACATTTTGTAGTGACCATAGTGGTACTAAGGAGGGTTGGGCAATGTGGGCTTGATGTGCAGCCAGCCAAGTCTGCCATGAATTTACATGAGAATCTCCTTCCCAGACATAGCAGGAGATGAATCCTGGAGTAGTGTGCTGTAGAAGATCATCTCTGACAAGCTCTTAAATAATGCACCTGCCGCGTCTGCTTTTGCACCAAGAGTTACTGAACATAACCCTTGAGATTTCACATTTCTTCCAGCATTTGGAGTACAGCGTTTCCACCTCACAGCAAGAAATTTTTATGTCAAAACCAATAAATGTTCTTACTCTTACCAAATGATTTTCTGTCCTGGTTACAAGGAAACAGTATTATGGTGTCTTTTTTTATTATTAAAAATGGTGTAGTCTGACATTTACAACATGTCCATAAACCTGCTGTCAAGTGCAAAGAAGCTCTTATGGGGGGTCACTTTGACTCACATGGTTGTGTTCTAAAATGTTGTTGCAGAAATACATTTTGCTTGTTTGGGGGGGAGTAACCTGTGATAGGGTATGCACAGTATATAGATTAAGGGAGGATCTGTCTACTAGTTACTTCTGCATCTGTGGTTTGGACTTAAACCAGTTACCCCAGAATGCTAAAATGCATCTGTAGAATAAAATCAGTAAGTACAAATATTTAAGGATTTTTTTAAAAAATCTGCTGTTCTGCAGTAATTATATTGACCCAAA